GTCCATTCTCCTACAAGTTTAATACCTTTTTTTTGGGCTATACTGGGGTTGGAACTCAAGGCTCATGCTGGTTAGGTGGGTACCCTACCACTTGAGCTACTCTACCAACCTTGTCCCACAAGTACAATGAAAAAGTTTTGCATGGAAGGAGACACAACACTCACCTCCTTGAGGATTACATTTCTAAAAACGGCTCTGGATTCTTGGAAAGTTTTAAAAAGATTTATGTATCTGAAAGTGGATAAAAATGTACCTGAAATTGTCTAAATAAAATAGTTCAACAAAAGCAACAGAGAAAAATGCTCCATATTGCACTAGAAAAATTAATTATTTTATGTTTCAATTTATATGTATTCTTATATAGATCAACTGCAAGGTACTTGCTCCCTCTGTGCCTTATTTACCCTCCTCAAAATGAAGAACTGAATCATTCTTATCTCAGAAGGCTAGCCTTTCATTTGTAGCACAAATATTTGAGCTTGTTTGGTGTGACACATGCACTTCTAGGTAATGAGGATACAGTCACAAAGAAAACAAAGGGAGACTAATGGCCAAGAGCCTACTTCACAGACCAGCCAAGTGCTACTCACACTTGGAAAGATAATTCTGTTCTCACTTCTAATTTCATCCCTGTGCCCACATTTATTGACATTCTTTTGCATAAAGGATTAGAGAGGTCCACCAGGGCAGTATAAAGTGAGTAATAGAATTGTCTGTTTCTTTAGGTGAGACTTGCAAAATAGGCACTTTAGTGCTTGAGCTTCTTCCAGTGCATTTTGCTTTGGTTATTTTGGAGATGAGGGGGTGTCTCATGAACTATTTGCCCAAGCTGGCCTCCTGATCCTACTGTTCTCAGCCTCTAAGAAAGTAGGATTATAGTTGTGAACCACCAGAGCCCAGCTTGTTCTTAACACTTTATATAGCAGTATTTGTTTTATGAAGGGATCAGGCCCAACTGGTTTTGATCTCCATTTATTGTTTAATAAATAAGGAATAAAACAACCACTTCAGCTTGAACTATCTTGAACTGCCAATGGAAATGGAGAAAACAAAGTCCTTGCTATCGATAATCATTTATTATATTCTTATATTTAAAGAAGAGCTTGTGAATGAAAAGGAAATGACTTATTCTCAGTCTTAAAGCCTGGTCCCCCTGTGACTCAAGCTTGAAACTTTGAGAAGGTGAAGACAAGAACAGAGATATGGGAAGTGCTAGATACAGAAACTTGACTTTCTCACTTCACAGCCTTCTATACCTATAATTAAACCCTAATTAACACTATGACACCTTCTAAGATAAAGAGATGTAGTAATTGTGGAGGGAGAAGGAAGTTGTACTTCAGGGACTGAGATGTGGCAGAGGATTTCCTTCTCACTGACAGGGTGATAACTGTGAAAAAAAATTGAAGTCACAGTGATTATTTAAGGGAGCCAAGAGCTGTACAATTCCACAATGTACAACTATGACCTAGGAAGCCTCACCTTGCCAGAAGGATTAAGCCAGAGAATATTTGCACCACTGCTACCAATGTGAGTAGACTTCGATTTATTCACATGTGCTATGTAAAGTTTCCTAACAAACCTGAAACTTAATTTCTTTTTTATTATGCAAAGGGGTTAAAGAGAAGGTCTGTTAGCCTTACAGCAGCCTGCATGTTTTTCTAATTTTGTAATGTATATAACTGGGGCCAGGAAGATGGAGGGGACCATTCCAGTAGATCTCACTGCAGAAATGCTTGATCACCTTTGTTCCTGTGTTCATAATCTGGCATCATTAAAGCACTTTGGGTGCATAAGGTTCTCACATAATGTTCTTCTAAAAGTTAGAAGACATATGGCTTTTCCAGTTATAATGAACCACTGTATTCTTCAGCCTCCAGTTCCACCTACACTTTGCCTCTGACAGATTGCTAGCTTTCATTAAATGTATGCACTTATTTTTTGGTGTATTTCTTTATTTCCAATGTAGGCCACCTTTTCCTTTTCCAATATATTGCTTACTCCCTTTGTGCATTTGTATTCAATATGCACACATTCTTGTTGTATCCACCCTTAAAGTTTCTCTATTCTGATACACTATTGTACTCTGCATGTAAATCAGCTTCACTCATCATAACTTGCTTGAGGGGGAACCTACTAAAAATTCTGATAAAATATCTAAATGCCTTTTGAGAATTCCTACTATGAATTTTTCAAGCTGTGAGTCCCCATTATATTACTAGAGAGAACTAAGTCTTGGCACTGACCTGCCTAACCTCTTTATGAATATGAGTGCAAAGCCTGTCTATAAAATAGTTTATTATATAATTTCCAAGATAATCTAGAATAGTAGTCACCCCTCTTTTCTGACATTCTTTATTTCATTCCCTCAGACAGAAAAAAAAGTGATTTCCAATGCATCTCAGAGACAATTCCCAGATCGGTACAAGAGTTTTGGCATTTGGGGGGTCACACACAAAGAGAACACACACAGGAGGAATAGAGAAAGGATAGGAAATCTAAAACTTGAATGTGGTTGATGTGCTCCCTGTTGAGGAGCAAGTAAAATAATCTTAAATTAGCAGAGGCCACTATGGGAAGGGGACAAAGAAGTAGCAAAGAGGTATGGTAGAAATGAACCAATGTGAGTTGCAATACACAAGTGTATGGAAACAATTCTAGAAATCTCTCTTTATAGCTATCTTTATTCCAAACTAGCAAAAATGATATGTCTTCCTTATTATCTCTTATGTTTTCTCTTCAACACAATCAGAGAAGAAGAAGGTGGAACAGTTCAGCCTGGAAGTGAGGGGGTGGGAATGCAGGGGAGGGGGGTAGGTGGCACAAACAATGTATACACAAGTAAATGTAAAAATGATAAAAGGGGAAAGAAAAAAAAGAGTTTTAGCATTTTTGAAGGGTGCAAAAAGGGCTGGAAGTTTTGGGAATCCCTAGAATGATACATGAAAAACAAATAGAAAAAGATTATGTGTCCATCACAATTTGAGAGTTTTAGTGTGGTCATTTTAGGAGATCCAATCTCTGGATAAATAGTCAATGTGTGGTCCTGATTTATTAATAAATATTGTCATGGTAGTTTCAAAAGTCTGTAGCTTAATTAATTTTATTTCATTATTTATTTATTTATTTTGGTGGGACTGGGGTTTGAAGTCAGGGCTTTACACTTGGCAAAGCAGGCACTCTACCACTTGAGTCACATTTTGCTGATTACTTTGGAGCTAGAGTCTCATGAACTATTTGCCCAAACTGGCCTGGAGGTGTGATCCTCCAGATCTCAGCCTTCTGAATAGCTAGGATTACAGGTGTGCACCTCCAGCGCTTGGCTTGTAGCATAATTTTTATGTGTTAGACATTTGAAATTATATATTGCCCTGTAATGCATTGAGGCAGTCTTTATTCTTCCCATATGGAAGAAACAGAGGCTGAAAGGCACTAATTTACACTCCTAAATTCATGGCTACTTGGTAACAAATACAGATACAGTTACAAATGTTTACACATTTATGTTACCAGGGACCTTCAGGACAATATAATCTAAAACAGCCTTTTAGTTTAGTAGAAAGGAGAGGGGGAAAGTTGACAGATAGGAATTCCAAGTATACAAACCATGGAGAAATCTCATTGGTCAAACATACTGAGTTCTTTTATTCTGGAGGAACTATCTATTTGTTATAAATTCCTAGTTAAAAAATTAAATGAAAGTTCTCTGGTGTGAAAGAGTAAATTCTGCCCAGGCTGAAATCTGACAATCAACTTGGGCTGGAAAAGATCACAGTGACCTTATTGTTAACTAAGGTGGGTGAAACTCACAGTGAAACAGATCTCATGTCACAGCAGTGATGTCCCAACCTATTTTGCTATAAAGAAGCATTATTGCAGATTCTTAATTCACTCATTTTATGACAGCAAATAGCAGCTAATTAATTTCCTTCTCCTAATCCAACTTGATAAGCACCAACACATCCAGAACTGATACAGGTTTTCTTGGCAACGCTTGAGATCACTAAAGGGAACTCAGACTCTTCCTAAAGACCTACTAGGAAGCATTTCAAGGTTTGTCTAGGGCACCCTTCCTATCTGAAACCAGTTGATTACATGAAATATCAGGCAAGATACTTGTTCCTTGATGACTTTGGCTGATTATACTTAAATGTTGGATCTTATATTGAAAGGTTGTACAGTTAAACTTGATATTAAAGACTGCAAAAACTCACAGAATATTTATGTAAGCATTAAAATCACAGAGCTATTTTGGAGTTTAAAAATACATTTCTGAAGGAGAAAAATGGAGGGGATGAACCAATTCAGAATACAATACATACGTACATGGAAATGTCATAATGAAACTCTCTCAATAGTCATCTTTAAAAAATACATCTCTGGAAATATTAAGGTATATGCATCAAAGGTATGAAGCTTGGATCCAAGCAACAAAACTGGAAATTAGCATACTCAACAAAATGTGTCATAGACTAGAATACTGAACAAATAAAAGACACTATGGAAGTTGAAATGTATATAAATTTGAGATGCTAAAGAAATTGATGCAACAATATTTTACAAGTGTCTGTATATGGGGTTGAGGGAGACAGGATAAACATGAGCCCTGAGTTTTTAGAATTGAATGATGGGAATATGTTAGAATGAAATAAACAAATGGACAAAATATGGCTGGTGCAATTTGGGGCTCAAGTTAGCCATGCTGAGACTGAACACAGGTGGGCCAAATGATGATTTGAACAAGTAGACTGGTTTTGTTAACATGGAGGTCAAAAGGAGCCGGTAGACATTTACATTTTTGCATACTATCAAGATGGCATTTACAAACTATATTTAAGAAATCATGAAAAGTGCCACAGAAAAAGAGTTCTTTTGATACAATATGAAGCATTACATATATCATGACTATCCTTGTATATCAGAAAATTGCCATGATATGAAATATTTTTTCAGGGTACATCATTGCTGATTCTTTAAAAGGTATTTTCTGGAGTCAAATTGTTCTGCCTGTGAAGTAAGAAATGTTTTTGCAGCTGGCCAAAGGAATGCTTTATTTCTTTCTAACGGGACTTGGGATTGTAGGGAACATCTCTGTTTTTGTGCATTATATATGCAGTTTTGGGGGAGGCACTGAGAAGATATCTATACAATTAATTCTCATCGATGTGGTTTTTACAAATATCATAATGCTTCTTTCCAAAGGATTGCCAAGGACAATAGCAGCTTTTGGTTTGAGAAACTTCCTAGATGATATAGGCTGTAAGACGGTTGTTTATCTGGAGAGGTTGTCCAGAGGCCTTTCAATGTGCACTAGCAGTCTCCTTACAGCGATCCAGGCCATCATTATTAGTCCCGGAGTCTCTGGATGGAGGAGACTCAAGCTGAGTTCTGCAAGGCACATCCTTCCCTTCTTGCTGTTCTTTTGGATCCTCAACTCCTTGATTAGCATGAACTTGTTAAATTCCACCACAGATGCCAGCATAAACACATCACAAAGTAATAAAAATGACTACTATTGTAATGTTGTACTAGAAAATCAGAAAGTAAACAGCATTTTTCTCACTCTCATGGTTGTGAGAGATGTTGTATCTCAGAGCATCATGGGTGGAGCCAGTGGCTACATGATATTTCTTCTCTACAGGCACCACCAGCATGTCCTCTACCTTCACAACTCCAAGTTTCTCTACAAAACTCCTCCTGAGATAAAAGCTGCTCAAAGTGTTCTCCTTCTGATGATTTGTTTTCTTTTCTTTTATTGGACAGACTGCTTGATTTGTTTATATTTAACTTTTTCCTTTGAAAGTAATTCTATAATAGTATACATTCAAGAGTTTTTGACCCTTGGGTATGCAATTCTCAGCCCCTTTGTGCTGATTCACAGAGATGGACATCTGTCTGAATATTGTCATGCTCAGTGAAGGAGAAAGACATTCAGAAAATCTGTGTTTGTTTTATCTTTTTAGTAAGTTTGAAAAAACTTGTAGTCATATAATGTATGTAAAAATGAAATAAAATAGAAATATTTATTATCAATCTTCTTATTAGTCTGCAGCCTTGAGGTGACTGACACACGGCTCATAGACAGTAGAGTGAAAAGAAGCCTTATTCTACACTCTGCCATCTTTAAGAAGTAGCATTCATTGTGAGCCTGGTCTTTCAGGATCACCATTTCAGTAGTATGGAGCAGGACAACAATTTCATGAATCTTATTAAAGTTAATAGTACATCATGAGTTTTTTTTTTTTTAATTTTTTGCCAGAACTTAGCTTTCTTATGAAGTAGAAAGAGGATGTGGGGAAGATTAGTAGAAGCAATTGTGAGTTACTTTTTTCCTCTGTGAAAAGAGATAATGCAATTCTAGAAATTGAAATCATGGTTTTATGGTTAAGAAATTGAAATCATGTCTTTATTGCACCTAGAATAGTGCTATGCACAGAGTGGATACTTAAATTGTTGTAGTTTTTAAAAAATAGTGTTAACTGTTAAAATTTGTGCTTATCTTTAAGACTGACTGAAGTATGTAATTAATTTTAAGTTACTTGAAAACTTATATGAATTGTTTCACATTATGGAAAAAGGTGACTAGTGCAACTACCCTTTTTGTCTAAGATTTCCATTTTAAGGAAATGGTACTACATATATACATGCTGTTGGAGAATTACAATAGAAAAATTTTACAGTGCACTGTTCATTACTTCTTAAACAAAATTTAATTTAAATAATATGTAAAAAGAAATAGTTTTTTTTTCTTTTAGCTGCTCGGTAACATCCATAAGTACCCATCTATAGAATGGAATTTTATTGAGTTTATGAAAGGATGGCAACTTCAAAATATATTAAATGGACTGACATGCAAAGTGTAATTTTAATCTGTGGGAGACAATGCAAGAGTAATGGGATTCAAAGTGGAGTGCAATGTATTTAACTTGATGTTGTATACATGGGAAATCTCTTGAGGAATATAAGAGAAATTATAAATTTTGAGAGAAATTAGGTAAATGAAAGCATAATATATTTTATTTTTATATTTGTATTATTCCTAAATTATCAAAAATGTGAATTTATTTTTTCAAAATGAATAAATATATTATGTTTGAAAACAAATTGTGGCTTGTTTTAGATATCATTTGTTAGTGCCCTGACACTATTCCATTATGCTTTCAGTCTCATAATCATCAAAGATTTACAAAACATCCCTGATTCTTTTTTATGTGTGGAGGGGGTATTGGGGCTTGAACTCAGGGCTTTACACTTGCAAAGCTGGTGCTCTACTAATTGAGCCACACCTCCAGCCCAATAGCCCTGATTCCTCATTAATTTAAATGAGGAATTTAGTCCTTAACTTCTTAAATTTGAAGCATTCAATACAGGATAGAATACATGGCAATCAGGTATCTGATGAAGTCATTTTGAAAGTTAATTAATGGCATTTTATTTATTATAGAGGCTTAGAGCACAAAATTTTAGAATTGATACAGATAAGTGGGAGTAGCTATACTGATATCTGATAAAACAGACTTAAAGATAAAATTAGTCAGAAGAGACAAAGGTCATTTCCTATTAATAAAGGGAATAATCCATCAAGAGAGGGTAACATTTGTTAGCATATATACTCCAAATATTGGTGCACCAAATTTCATTAAACAAATTCTACTGGACTGAAAAAAAACTGATAGACCCCCAACACACAGACTTAATTGATGCTATGGACCAAATGGAATTTACAGAATATTTCATTCAGCAGCTGCACAATATATATTCTTTCAGCAACTCATGGAACTTCTATAAATTAGATCATATTTTAAGACACATGCAGCAAGTCTTTACAAATACAAGAAAATTGAAATAATTCCCCGCATTCTATCAGACCACAAAGGAATAAAAGTAGAAATCAACAGCAAAAGAAATTACAGAAAATGTTTCAACACATGGAAGACTGAAAAATACATTGTTGAACAACTAGTGAGCTATCAAAGAAATAAAAAGTTCCTAGAATCTAAAGAAAATGAAAACATAACTTACCACAAGGATTTCTTCCCATTCTGTGGTTGGTCTCTTCTTTCAGGCGATTATTTCTTTTGATGTGCAGAAACTTCAAAATCTGTAGTCAATTCATTTGGTTGGAGATGTTAGTCACCTGAAGTCTTTCCCTTGAATTGTTCTGTATTTTCTGGCAAACTGGTTAGTGGCAGGGGTGATGTACCATTTTTTATCACTGGCCTGGGTTATAACTCAGCAATAACAAATTCATCAATTCTATATAAAACTAATGGTTTACATGAAGGAAAATACTACTGGAAACATTTTCTATACAACCAATCATGTTATATATAAAAAAGACTAGTGTTCTTATATGTTACAATAGAGGGTTAGAAAAACAAAACTTGTTCATAGGAGTTAAAACTTAGGTAGTAAAAATAAGGAGGTGAGGAGATAAATAAGGAAGAAGAAAGATGGGGAAAAGAAAAGTGAAGTGTGAGGGCTGCAGGTAAATAATTAACTAGTGTGTAGGAATATAGTTCACTTATTGTGGAGAAGGGTGCTATTGTCAGGGATTGCGAAAGAATGGAAAAGTTTAAAAAAAAAAGAAGGTGGTAGAATAAAACACCAGTAAAATAGTTTTTAAACAAGAGATAGGAAAAGTAAAGAAAAAGTAATGTGGGAAAATGTCAATATAAAAGAGATAAATTAAAAATTTTTTTTAAATGTCAGTATTTCTTCCATGTTGGACAGTGAATGTTGGCTGGATTCTCCCCTCCAAACTCTGGTTCTTATGTTTCTGTCTGCAGTTCTCCTGTAGGGTTTACTCCTGTGTCCCCTCAGGGTCCTGGGAGGAAGGTTCTGTATTTGGGCACCTCCTGGAGTGAGGTGGTGTGCTTCCAGGCATCTGAGGTAGCAGCTGGGGGTGGATGCCGAGGTCTCCAAGTACAACTAGTGGGCCAGAAAGCACTCTGATGCTCTGGAAACCTGCACTTTCCTGTTATGGGAGTCCAATGGCTCTCTGGCTTGTTCAAGGCCAGTGTTTTTCCCCTTTTCCACCTATTTGGTTTAATGTTTCATTTGGGGAGTGAGGAGCGAATAGGTCCTGGCACTTGCATGTGCATACACTACTGGGTTGAGTGGTTGGTTCTGGGCTCTAACAAGCTGGTCAGCTCACTTCTGCATCCACCTTCTCTTGAGATGGAGCCCCAGATATTGATCTCTAGTGAGCTAGCTTGGTCAATTTTGCTCCCTTCCTTTGGATAGAGACCTTGAGCCAAGTGGCTTGATCCCACTCCCACCTATCAAGGCCACATGTGGGGGCCTTTAATCATCTCGGTTAACCAAAAGTTTTTTTAGGGATCAGATATATTTGCATCTACACTCTAGGCTGGCCTGTGCATTGGCCTTTAGGACTGAAACTGATTTTCCCCATTGGGTCCTTTCCATGCTGGCCTTTTTGCTCTGGGCAGTGGAGCACAGATACTGGTTGGCTTTTGTCTGGAGGCTTGTTGATTTGCTCTTAGCGCTCCATGTGGTTATTTCATTCATAGGGTAACTCTTGCTAGAAGCAATTCACACCACAACAGTTAAAAAAAAAAAAAAAGAAAGAAAAAGAAAAAGCCTGAGCTGGGAGAGGTTCAGGATACAGTAACTCCACGGTGGATTTGTGTCTTTAAAGGTCTAGTTAGAAATCAGTGTTTCCTGATTTTCTGTAGCTACTATCTGTTTTTATACTGGTATCATTTTAGCTTGCCCACTCTCCTTGTAGCCATGTACCTAAGGTTTTATTTCTGGTTTGTTGAGACATGGAAAAGAGGTACCTGTCCCATCATCTTGGAAACCTCTCTGGATTTTTTTCATTCTTTTTTTATGCTTCCTCTCAAACTTTTCTCTCCTTGAAAAAGTGTATATGTAATTTTAAAAAAATAAAAGTATCACATTTTTATGAAAAAGTTTTGTGAGATTATCACCTGAATGCACCCCAAAATGCTGCAATTTCTTCTACCTATCCACTTTTCAGTCCTCATTATTTCAAGTATGACCCTGTCATTATGCAAATGGAACATTGCATGTGCCCCCAGTTCAAGATTGCATGTAGATGGTCAGACATGGAAACAGGGATGATGATGCATAAATATACACACTACTTCTGTATTTTTATGGAATTGTTTCACTGGCTATATCAGCATATCAGAGTCCATTTGAAACAAATTAGAGGGACCCACTTCTCCCTGGGGCAGGAGTTAAGCACTGTTAAATACTATTAACTAAGTTAAATGCTGTTATGATCATTAGTCTGTGTTAAGCTTTCATTAAGTCTTTATTAAAAATACCTTTTTACTGTGTCCTGTGAATGACTAAAACTGTCAAGAGCAGGTGTTTGGCAGGCTCTTCCCTTATGTCTGATAGTCTTGAGTGGGAAGCTGTTAGCCAAGCAGCCTCTTTACTGGCAACTGGCAGGACTGCCCTCATGGTAGTCCAGATGCTTTGGACAGTTTACAGTCATTCTGGGGACACTCCATCAGTTGCAAAGGACAGCAACCATGATGAAGACATGCTTCAGTCAGGCTTCACCACAGTTGGAAAGCAGCATTCTAAACAAGGCAAATCCTTGGTAAACTCTAGATGATCCTACAGCGATTTTCACTTAGGTGGGAGGTGGAGTACTTCCCCTGGTGGCAGAGCAGAAGGCCTGTGATTGGTGCTAACATGGTCCTTCATTCATATGAAGGTCTCCTGTGATTGGTGCAAACACCCTTGCAACATCTCCTTTCTGGTTATATAAACAGGCTGTTTGGATGACTTTTTGAACCAGCCTGGAGACATTGTCCTGTACTGTTCCTGTGAGAATCAACTAAAGTTAGGTCTTTTCTATCAAAGGAGTTAATGTAAAACTATCATTGTGTAGATGTCAGCTAACCTCCCCAAATTGCTG